CTTGAAAACGTGAATTTTCGCAATGACAACAAATGCTGTCGATTGCTTTCCTTTAAGCGACAGGCTCACTCTGTTCATCTGCAAGAAAATGTTTTCCATATCCCCCAGTCCAGACAATCATCATTTGTCTGCCAGCCACTTTTTCAAATAAAGGGTATTTTATGAAGAAAGGGATTGGCTCAACTCATGATTCAAACGTTCACATGTGTGTTTCTCCTCAAGACCAACATATTTGGCATAAGTTAGTGTGCATACCTCTCATTTGATTGCACAGGTCATTAAATGGAGAGGTACTGAAGGGTAGAGATTTAATACCGTTGGTAATTGTATCTTCTCATGAGGAAATTCTTGTTTTTCCCATTTTTGTGTGTGTCTGTGGTATACATGTGCAAGTGTGTATGTGTGTGTGTTCATGTATTTGGGTACATACCTGCATGTGCACTCACATGTGGAAACAAAAGATGGATGCTAGAACCCGAGGCTCCGTGATCTTCCCTCATGGAGGCCCATCTCAGCCTAGTCCAGAGCTTACTAATGTGGCTAATCTCTCTAGTCAGCTAGCTCTGGGGATCCCTCCCCCACCATCTGAGGCTGGGATTATAAACAGGCTGCCATACCCATCTGGCATTTATGTGGGTTCCAGTCTTTACGCTTGTGGGGCAAGCACTTTAACCACTGAACTTCACCAGGACATTCTTAAGTAAACGTGAAGGTTTCCCCTGAAAGTACATCATTCTATAGTCACAGAACAACTGTCTAGTCTAGGGACCCCAAGTGTAACCCACACGGGTAAAATGCTGATTTTGCATTATCACTCTGAGTCAACACAGTGGAAAAGGCAATTAAATCAACGAGATGTCTTGGCTCTCATAGACCTCTATAGAGAACCCAGGGAACCCAGGCCCCCATGAGCCCCACTGACAGCTGCTGGTCTTAATGAAGAGAAGACACTCCTCGCGTCTAAGTCCCAACGCTGCTGGTTAAGCCAATGACTTTGGACAACATGTTTGGCTTCTCCATGCCTTGGTTATTGCTCATGAAAAGGGAAGTGGTAAGATCATTTTCCCTCACACGGTTGTAAGAATTCGATGAGCTGATGCGGTAGGGTGCATGGCACATGGTAAGTTCTCAGTAAAGGAGGATTGTGATGGGATTGACGAGGAGACAGAGCAAAAGGAAAGAAAATGTAGTCATGGTTGCCTCACAGTGGGTGCCAAGGCCACCAACACGGTGAAAGTCAATACTGGCTATGGGGGGTGAACCTGGAGGTCGAGTTCTTCCATCCTGTCCCCATTCTTGGAAGAGACACTGCCATGTAAGTGAGGAAAGTAAGTTCGTAGTTGGCCCGAGAAGCAGCTAACCCACCACTTCCGGCTCCTCTTTAGAAGGTCACTATGGAAGGGTTTTGTATTCCTTGCAAGAACCCCTTCACCTCCCAATAAAGACAGTCATCATGTAGAGAGGGGACAGCCGACACAGGACAGGGCCTAAGTAACCTGGAACCTTGAATGGTGTGCATGCATAAATGTGTGTGTGTGTGTGTGTGTGTGTGTGTGTGTGTTTAAACAAGGTATAATTAATACACACACTGGCCTCAGACTTGCTATGTAGCTGAGGAAGATCCTGAGTTCCTGCCTCCACCTCCCGAGTGCTGGGATTATAGGCATGTACAACACCCTGATTTTGAGTGGTGTTTTTTTTTTTTTTGGCTCTAAATTATAAGGCCTTGGGGCTGAGTGGTTACGAACACTTGCTTCTCTTGCAGAAGGTTGGAGTTCAGTCCTCAGTATCCACATTAGGTGATTCACAATGACCTGTAACTCCAAACTCTAGTGGATCTGATTCCCTCTTTTGCTCTTTGGCTACTTGCTTGCACTTGTGCGCGCACGCGCGCACACACACACACACACACAGGAGACAAACAAAAATAAACAAAATTTTAAAGGTCCAAGGTCAGGACAACAGCCTGGTTAAATGTTGTCCTCTTCTCCCTTGCTCTATGTTGTCTGGAACAGGAGGATACACAGAAGTCATCTCAGAGAATTTGGGTAAGAAAGCTCTACCATGTGTGTTGTATTTCCATATGCTGTTTTGTTGTTGTTGTTGTTTGTTTTTGTTGTTGTTGTTGTTGTCTTTACTACTATAACAAAATACTGGAGTCTGGATGATTTAAAAGAACAGACGTTTAATAAGGAATTCAGAATTGAACCCAATCAGAGTATCACAGACCATTCAAAGCTGGGTTGATTAACTTTGGGTCAGCCTGGGACTTGAACTTGCATGACTCTCATTTTACACGCATGCCTGAGTACCTTCCTCTCACAAGTTCCCCTGCCCCCCTGCAGGTCTTCATTAGTGCCATATCTCAGAGCAGGAAACAAACATCACAGGTCTCCATATTCTGTTAATGATATGATCCACGTACTGAGTCTGCTAGCTGAGAGCACACATATCTGACACTGCTCCAGAGGGAAGGGAGGAAGACTAGCTAGAATGAACATGATATCTGCATTAAAGCCAAACACAAACTTTAGCAAAGTAAACGTGAAAATGATGAAAACTTAGAGACTGTATCAACATCAAAATGATACAATTACATATGTCTGCAGAAGTTTGTGTATATTATAGAAAGCTTTAGAAGCTGTAGTGGGAAAGACATAGCCCGTATGTGTTACCAACCAACCCCTAAAGAATCTTTTAGCTGCTTCCCTTACTTGGGGGACATTGGGCAGTCTGACAGTTTCAATTTTTTAGAAATAAGCACTTACATGTCCATGTGGACACGCTTGTTTGAGAGAAATTTAAATAGAAGAAAGAACCTTCATTGTTACACATTATCTACTTTTTATGACTCCTGTGTTTGCTTTATAGCTTTCTCTTTCTCAATACATATCTTTTTATTTGGCCCATCTGAGAGTATAGTACAGATACCCAGCCCTCTATGCTTTAATACTATACACACACTTTACAAGAGTAAGCACACAGTCTTGCTCAAGCATATAAATCTCGCAGCCTCCCATTCAGACGGCACTTTCATTTAATCTGCAGTCTCTATTCCGATTTCATTTGCTCTGCTGGCAATTTCTAAAAGACAGGATCCAATCCAGGATTGTAGATTGTATTGTCATGACTCTGATGTAGAACAATTCCTCTGCCTTTTCCAGTCTTTTGTAGTATTGATGTGTTTGAAGACTAGAACAGCTTCACTGGGGTTTTCTGATGTTTCCTTATGGGTAGATTTAGATTGTGTGGCATAGGAGAGAATAATACTATTAAGTGATACATTCCTGGGTACCAAGCCCAGATGCACAGAATGGTCCTCACTGCTGGCATTAATTTCTGTCACACAGTGGTCCACTTTCTCCATTGCCAGTCCACTCTTCCATTGCAGTTAGTTTTTTTGTGAGGGACTTTAACATTGTGTTGACAGTTTTGTGCCTCATCACAACTGCCCTTCTTAGATTTAGTATCTTGGTGATCCTATATCTGAATAACTTTTATTAGACTATTGGGAAAATCATGATTTTATTTGGAAAAACCCCATATTATCTCTGTATTTATTTGTTGTTATGAAAAGAAGAGGTTTCATTATCTGTCATCAGCTGAGAATAAATGTGGGTTTGTTGTTGTTATTTGTCTGTCTGTTTTTCTGGAAAAGAGAAAAGATATAGAAGTTTCTTTTGCTATGTTTCTGGAGGCCGGAAGCCTAAGCGTGGTGCCAGCTCTGGTGGCATCTGACGATGGCTTACCTGAGGCATCACAGCATGGCCAAGGGGCAACATAGTGAGACAGCATAGGTCGTCTTCTTCTTACAAAAGCCACTGACACCATCACCAGGACCCCACCCTCACGACCCCATCAAACCCTACCTACTGCCCCCAAACAAGCATCGATTCGTGTCTCATTGCTGGGACAGAATAGCTGATGAGAAGCCTCTGGAGGGAAGGAGGGAGGGGCTTATCCCAGCTTACAGTTTGAGAGGACCATTCCATCACAGAGAAGAAGACACAGAATTAGGCAGGGAGGGCATGGTGGGCAGAGCAGAAGGCCAGCTGATCACATTCATCTGCAGCCAGGAAGCAGAGAATGAACAGGAAATGGGGCCCATCCCCAGTGACCCACTTTTTCCCCACAGAGCTCTGTCTCCTAAAGGTCCTTAACCGTCCCAAATAGCACCCCTAGCTGGAGACCACCCATCCAAACACATGTGGCTATGGATATACTTCCCCCTCAAATCACATCAAGGGAGCTGGAGAGATGGTTCAGCAGTTAAGAGTACTTGCTGCTCTTGAGTTGGTTCTCAGCACCCACAGCAAGCGACTCACAACTGCTGTAACTCCAGCTTCAGGATGTCTGATGTCCTCTTCTGGCATCTATGGGCACTCCACCAATACAGCATTGGCATACACACACACACACACACACACACACACACACACACACACACACACACACACCAAGAAGAATAACATAAAATCTTAAAGAGCAATAAGAACACAATAAGCTCCAAGTAACATTAACACATGAGAATTGACATACACATTGGAGATATTATTTCCAGCATGTGTACTTTTAAAAGATGTTCAGACCACAGCATCGGGCAAAGGCTCAGGCATTGCTTCTATATGCTGAAGTACGTTCAGCTCCCAGATAGCCATGCCACCCCATTGCTGCTTCACAGGCTAGTTCACTGTTAGCCAAGCTACTTCCAACTCTGTACTGCCTGTCTCCTTCTCCAGCCTCATAAGCAAAAGGACACTTCATAACAATAAATGCTCCTCTTGTCAACTAACCCTCAGTAATACACACAATGGCTCGCACTTGGTGAGAAATCACTTTATTCTTGATGTTATGCTAAGTGCTACACACGGAGACTTCATTTCACCCTGGAAACCACACTATCATCGAAATACAATTTGAGTCGATTTTAAAGATAAATAAATTGAGTCTCACTGACCGTCAAGTTTGCACAACGAGCACATAGCAAATTTTTGGTCTACCTGACCCCCGAGCCGCTCTTCCATCCTGCCTCTTCATCCAAGTGAGTTTTCATCGGATGTGAGTGAATTTGCTTCCTTGACTTTGAATTGGGGGTCAGAACTCTTCTTCCACAGTCAGGGTTCTCTAGAGCAATAGAACCAATAGGCTGATCACTCATGCTGAAATAGGATTTGTTAGGCTGTCCTACACAGCAGTATCTGAGTAGCCCAACGATAGCTGTCTTACAAGAGGAGGCTGAGGACTCAGTAGTGGTTCAGCCTGTAAGGCTGGATGCCTCCGAACTCCCAAGCTGGTGCTGGTTGTCTGGAGGATTCCTAGAAAGCTGCTGGTCTTCCACCCACGAGAGAAGCCCAGAAAAGCTTGTTCTAATGTCAGCAAAGGAGTCAGCAGGGGGAGCAACGGGGTAGGTGAACTCACCAGTGAGAACAAAAGTCAAGCAATCTAGGCAGGGCCGATTGTATGAGAGAAAACTAAGCAGACAAACAAACCAATATATGATTAAAATTTAATTAATTAATAGAAAAGCCAAGCGATCAAAAAGTGAAGCTGCCAGGAAGCACTTCCCACTTCTAGGCTGAGTCTTCCCATATCAATTAAGATAATCAAGACATCCCCCTCCCAGACAGGCCCACAGGCCAACTCAGTGTCGACAAGCCTCATTGAGACTCTTCCCAGGTGGCCCTAAGTTGTGTCAAGTTGACAATAACACTAGCCCGAACAGCTGGTTTGTCTCTGCCTTAGCAAAAATGAGTGGCTGCTTTCAACAATGATGGTTCCCTTGGAGGGATCACTTCCCACCTAGTCCTCAGAGCATCCGGAGGCTCCCACGTTGGCTTTTCGGATCCCTGCTTGCTCCCTTGCAAGCCACCCTCCTTGCAACTGTCACCACGGTTTTTGTGAACACACAAGTTCTTCCTTTGGTTAAATTTCCCGTATACTACTAGGTAAAGACACACAACTCAACGCACCTCATTGCCCACCCCTGACAGACCTCAGCTTCCAGAGGCTGTCAGCCCCTGCAGCTTTCCCAGGAAGCTGACAATAGTAGTTTCTATCACCAGGATCAGCTTCACACAGCTTGTTCCTCAGGCTTCTCTTTTCCTGCCCTAGAACCTTCTCATCCTCCTATGCTCGGACTGTAGGGAGATCAGACCTGTGGAATGATCATGGTTTCTTAATTCGCTGCCACTCCATGTTCTTCTTATAGAGTTCTTGTCTCCCTGCCAAGAGCCTCCCAACCTTCTCTCCCCATAGAAAGGTTCCTTCCAAGACATCATCTCTTTGAAGGCAGCTTTAACAGAGTCAGTGTCCACAACTTCATTCCCTTCCTATCCCAGAGTTAAGGACATTTTCTCTGGGTTGCATAGAAGGAAGATCCGTGGGGTGGGGGTGGGGCATCACTACACCCTCAGGACAGACTCAGATAGTGAGAGAGAGAGGAGATCAGGTATCCGAATTCTGCTATCACACTGTCTCTCAGAAACTTTAGGACAAATATCTGACCAGAGGCAATGTGGCAACAGTGTTTCCAACAAGAAAGATTTGATGGCACCAGAGATGTCTTTATATTTACCTGGAATGCTTGCCTGTCCACCAAGTCAGCGCCAGTTATGAGCAGGACCAGTTATGAGCCCAGGCCTGCACTAGCCCAGGAATGGGAGGGAAACTGAGAGCAACACCAAACATGAAAGTGTGATTCCCACCTCAGGACCACACTACAAGCAAGTGAGGAATCACAGCTGACATGAAGGAATACAATGAGTGTTGTTCCAGGAAGGGAGGGGCCGCTGTGTCTCAAGGACCTGTGTGCTTGACCTGGGGTGTTCCTGGCAGGGAGTGTGGAGTGAAGAAGGGCTTCCACTACACGGAAGACATCTACCCTGTTGAACTCTGGATGTACTCAGGCTGTTATTGTCAAGTTCATAGCTTTCTAACTGCCTTCAGCTGTGATCTTATGCAGTTCCAGTGACCCAGACTGCACTAGACTCCTCCCACCACAGCCCCCTAGGAGATGTCAGCAGTCATCTTGAGTTTCAACCTGAGACTTGGTCTTTCTACAGCCTCCCAACACAGCAAGAGCCAAAAGGAAAGAAACACTCACAATGATCTCAAGGAAGGAATGAAAGCAGGATGAGGGTGCAGCAGGAGGTAAAGAAACAGGTTACACACACACACACACACACACACACACACACACACACACACACACACACACTGATTCTCTGACACTTCAAGTACTTCATACATTTACCAGCCAACATTTGAACTACACATTTCATCTGCTTGTTTGCTGTCTCATTTCATTCTAAATCCTTTGAGAGTTGGACGTTTCTTATTTTGACTTCTGTCTTCAGCATTTAGTACAACATTAGTGTCAATGGACAGACATCAATATATTGAGTGAATGAGTGAGTGAATGAATGAAGGAATGAATGGGTAGTTGAAAACAAACAGTGATGCAGCTGGAAGAAATGAAAGATTGAAAAGGAGCGGCAGATGCTGTCACAAGGAAGCCGATAAAAGAGAAACAGGTCTCATCTAGTTATGGTTTCGATATGAAATGTCTACAGATTAGTTGCTATTTGAGAAGCTGTGGAAACTTTGGGAAGTGGGACCTAGCTGGAGTAGGTCACCCAAAATGGAGATTATAATTGCCCCCCTTCCTGTCTCAAGCTTTCTACTTCCTTCCTGCAAAGAAGTGAAGAACAACCTCCACCACATGCTCCTATCACCATGATGTTCTGTCCAGACACACGAGGTCAAGGAACCATGAAGTGAAATCTCTCCTCCCCAAAGAAGTCCTTCCTCCCTGACATCAGGTAATTTGGTCACAGCAATGAAAAGACACTAATACATTTCTCAATAAGAAAAAGAACTTTAGAGAGGCCAAGGGCATCTAAAGATGAACTCTGCTTCATAAGGAGATAAAGATGGTCATTGAAGTCATCGTCTTCCTCCCAACACCTCCTCCCTGATAAAGCTTCTGCTTCTGAACATCTTACCTGGGCAAGCAAGAGTCAACCCTTGTCTAGCTCTTGAGAGGTAACCCCCACCCCACATCACCAGCTAAATACAACTGAGACACTGAGGCTCCCATAGCTCTGTGCCCCAAACACTGTTGCTTGTCATCCACACAGCTCTGGCAGGCAGGACTTGGAGTTCTGGCCTCTGTCTAGGCACCCACCTCCCTGCTGATTCTCGTGAGTGGCCTTCGGTAAACTGTAACCATGAGTCTCAGTTCTGTGAGTCCTTCTAGCAGACATTGAGTGTGAGGATCTTGGGGCTCTGGACAGCACTCTTCTTCTTCATTGCTCCCACCTGCTCCCTCTTATCATATCATTTTGAGTCTTAGCCTGACTCTCTACATGTTCCTGCACACCTGCTCCTTGGGCTGCTTTTAGATCCATGTTTACACTGCTCCATAGTGGTGTGTAGTACTTGAGACATGCCTATGGCTAGTCATGGATCCTAAAGAACTCCAGTCCAGATCGCCACACCCTGTTCCTCTTTCTCCAGCAAAGGGGAGGTTATAGAATGACTTCTACCACACATTAAAAAAAAACAAAAACCCACTTGATAGAAATAATAAAGACAATGAAGCCAAGGGCTGACAAGTCAACCCTGTGATCTCAATGTGTCCATTGCCTTGCATGCTCTAACATCAAGGCAGTGATAGAACTTTCTAGTGGATATGCTCTTTGGTATGCTTACAGAGAAGGCTGGGTGGACAGAGGTGGGGGACAGGCTGTGATTGAGAGACAAGATGCCAGTGGAGAGCTCAGATGCACGCGAGTTATAAGGACCCAGAATGCTATCTTCACAGCTCAGCTCTGGGTTTCCAGAACTTGCTGGGGAAGGCTCTCCTTTCCTTCCTGCCAACTTCTTTCTCTCTTCCCTACCTGGCACCAGAGGGCCTAGCCTCCAAGTCACAATTATGAAAGCTACGTGAGGATGCTAATTGCTGTACTGACCTCCCTTCCAATAACAAGGGAATTGCTCTCCCTAATTAGCCCTGCCTCTGGTAGACCAGCAAAGCCAAATGTTTATTATGGGATGAATGCACTTACTGTAAATTTTGACATATGCTGTGGAAAGATGTTAGATAAATAAGACTTCAGAGGCACAGGTTGTTTAAATAATGAATATCTGCTGCTTTGGGTGATGAAGGTGGAGGGGAGTGAGGGAAACAAGAAACTAAGACCCTGGAACTGTGCTCTGAGCCTGGGAACAGACTCAGTTGTCAGGAGAGTAGTGGAGGAAGGCGGTCTGAGGATGGGCAGGAAGGCTGAAGGCAGAGAGAAAGTAGGCTGGTGCAATGTCTCACCCACGAGTCCCTGAAGAAACACACCCACCCCCATCCCCTTTTCCTTTCTTTCCCATCTGCAGTCCCCTGGGAAGCAATGGCATGGTTTCTGAAATGCAATTAAAGAAAATAGCAGAAGAAAGTCTCTCTCTCTCTCTCTCTCTCTCTCTCTCTCTCTCTCTCTCTCTCTCTCTACACACACACACACACACACACACACACACACACACACACACACCCCTTCATACAATGGGTCCCAAAGCTATTTAGACAGAGCTTGCTTCTTCTCTGGGAGGAGAGTGAGTTCACAGGAGACTGACGTATTGGGATTAAATCGCTAGCAACCCACGGAATCAGCTTAATGATCAAAGGAATTTATTTGGGGGTTGGCTCACAACCATGGGAGTTATCATAGGTTCCGTCTGGGAAAACTGAGCTATGTCCCATGCTGAAGGCTTGGTCTGAGATCTCAGCATCCAAACCACGAGGTAGCCAAGAGAGAGCTGCGTACATGCATCCCAGGTCTTAAGGGTCCCCAAGCGGCCACACCCCAGGAGCATGTACCTCAAGGTCATAGACAGGTGTAACTGTTATTAGGGGTGGTGCTTCAGGGTATGGCTCAAACAGCTATCCCCTACATCTCCCCTTTTATTGTCTAAAAGAGAAAGTTCTAACCTAACACAAAACCATGTACACTACCAATGATTATCAAGTATTGTCCAGGAGAAATAACGGGTAATGACCTAAGCAAAAAGGAACTACAACCAACAAGAACAACATCAAACAAGAGACACAGACTAAAATCCAGAGATGCCCAGAA